ACGATTCTCTTCACCCCTCCATAAACACGTCCAGATTCAGGCTTTCCATACCTGGTTGAAGGTCAAGAATCTGATCCATATGCCGGTCCAGGACCATAGATTCCATACCTAGTTTTCTTGGGTACAACGAACGGCTAGACGCACATAATGCTGTGATGATGGTCTGTGATCTGGCCAATCGTGACCAGGCAAGTTTTTTTTTTTTTTTTTTTTTTTTTTTTTTTTTTAAACCAGGCAAGGATCTAGTATCATCTTACGATGTGACGTAATGACTGGTGTTGGTGTTTCCGTCCAGGCTGAGGTGGCAGGACTGTGCCCAACAGTTGTCCAAGTCCCTGTCGTCGGAGGGCATGCAGGTGCTACAATCTTGCCTCTTCTCTCGCAGGTACGCTCGCTTGTGTGCTGATTATGAAGGGCCTTAAATCAACGGCACAAACTTGTTGAACAGTCTAACGAATTCTTCTCCTCTCTCTTCCCTCTTTAACCCTCTAATTTCTGTCTCCCTCCCCCTCCCCCTCCATTCCTCCCTCCCCACCCACCCCCCCTTTCGCCCTCTCTCTTTCTCTCTCTCTCTCTCTCTCTGTCTTTCGAGTTGTGCTGGCAGGTTTGAGCGTTGTTGGAGGTGCAGATAGAGAGTGGATTTGACATTAGAAACAGATTCTTGGCTCTTTTCATTGTGGATTGTGGGATGCTGCTCTGTGCGCGAGAGACAAGAGAAGTGAAGTAAATAAATAGATACATAGAGATAGAAGACAGAAGGGGAAAAAGAGAGAGAGAGAGAGAGAGAGAGAGAGAGAGAGAGAGAGAGAGATTGGTGGTGCAGAGAGAGAGAGAGAGAGAGAGAGAGAGGTGGGGGAGAGAGAGAGAGAGAGAGAGAGAGTGGTGGTGAAGAGAAAGAGAGAGAGAGAGAGAGAGAGAGAGAGAGAGAGAGAGAGAGAGCTGTCTCTTATACACATCTAGATGTGTATAAGAGACAGCTCTTTGTGTGTGTGTGTGTGTGCGGAGTTCATGACAACTTTATTCTTGTTGAATTGCGCCCTGGAGTCGGTGTTTTTTTTTTCCGTTTTTTAACACAATGGCTCATACATTACGAAATCAAAGAAACCAGTTGAGGCCAGGGGGGGGTTTCCCACAGTCTACGTGGAGAAGTGTGGGGGTTATTATTATCATTATTAAATAGATCTGTGTCATGGGGGAAAAGGCAGTCGAGCATCGCGACTTTTAAACCACCAGTACTTGGCCCAGGTATCGGCTGTGGGGGAAAATAGAGTAGAAACGTTTCTAGTTGGATGAATTTGGGCACTCCTGTAGTGACCCGTGCATTTCCTAAAATCGTGGCTTGTTAACTGGCACAACGTTAGGAAGTACTGGTGGTTTAACCACCAGGACGATTCCCAGCTATTTTATTTTTCGGAGATGCAGCTCGTTGATGGCCGCAACTTTGAGGACCGGGCCGTTTGTTGATAAATTTCATTGGAGGCGGTTGTCGCGTTTCGGGCCTCCGAATGTCGCAGTGAGGGGCCTGCAGCCGATGTGTGGGCGAGGTAATGATTGCGGTTTGACGTTCAGAAGCGCTTTGTAATGATTGCGTTTGTCGTTTCTTACTCCCTGTGCCAGTTCTGTAAACTGTGCTGCTAAGACATATGGTGATTTGTGCGCACAGTCACACTCTCACACCCTTGGAAAGGCGGGGTGGTTGTTTGGGGGTGGGGGAGAAGGGAGGGGGGGGTTAAGTGCAGGCCTGCATTTCTACTAGTATGGTCATTTTCTGCCCAAGCACATTGCCCTCGTAATATCTGTATCTGGCGTGAAAGTTGCACTAAGTACCAATATGATGAATGGGGGCGAGGTCCCACTGACAAAGAGGATTGGACTACGCACCTGAATCTGGATGTGCTTTATGCAGAGATGCAGAAAAACAGATCTGTCACGATTCTCTTCACCCCTCCATAAACACGTCCAGATTCAGGCTTTCCATACCTGGTTGAAGGTCAAGAATCTGATCCATATGCCGGTCCAGGACC